CATGTTCACATCAGGCGTGGCATGTGACGAGGCCCCGGTGTCCGGGTACCACGCATCCGTAGGTGGTGCGGCTGCCGTCGTGTCACCGGAAACGGCAACATTGGCTTGAGCGGGCGGCTGGGTGGTGTAGCGTTTATTGCAATAGATCGCCGAGTGTCCGTGAGCCCTACAGATTTGACACCGGGGAGAGCCACGGCCACCATTGCGTCCACCGCGATGATTGTTCCGGCCACCATTGCGGCTGCGCCTGCCACCACTGGAATGATGGTCATTATTTCCACGCCCACGCCTCGCATACATCGCGTGATTGCCTCTAGTACTGCCGAAGTCCGACGGAGCAGCAAGATCATCACCGAGAATGAAATCCGCCGCCTGCAGGTGATCCGAGAGGGTGGGCAGTCTGACTGGAGTGTTGGCAGTGAGGCTGGCTACGTAGGACCGATACTCCGGGCATAGACCACGCAGAACATATAGGTTCTGCTCGGCCAACGAAAGAGGCGAACCGACTTGCGCTAGGGCTTCCACCAAAACCTCCTCACGACCGAGGTAGTCCGCCGGAGAAGAGTTGCCCTGCCGGAGCGCTTGGAACTGTCCAAGCAAATTCAGGCATCTCGCCTGTGTATTGGATCCGAGCGCCGTAGTGATCTTGCGCCACACCTCTGCCGCCGTATTCCGGCCAATCGCCAAGCGGAGTACCTCGTCAGACATGGAGGATATAAGGAGGGATAGGATCGACTGATCCTGCTGCATCCACACCTTGTACGCCTGATTCGGAGAGGGCTCGGTGGTGGGTGTCACCGAACTGGATTCGCCGGCCGGGGAGGAAACCATCGCCGCCGGGCAGGGGTAGGTACTGTCGGTGAATCCAATGAGGTCGTGGCTGAGTAAGAAAGGAAGCAACTGAGTGCGCCAAAAGAGAAAGTTGTGTTGCGTGAGCTTCATCGAGATAAAGTGATGAGCTCCGGCAAGCGGGTTGACGCCGGCCGGAGAAGAACCACCGGCGGCGGAGGGCGTTCTCTCGGATGAGTTAGATGACATGATCGCAAAAAGAGGGGGGGTTGCGCAAAGAAGGGAGAAAGGATCGTTTAATTTTAGGCTGATACCAGATGAATGCGATAAATTTAATCAATTGCAACAGGAAAGAATTACAGAAGGTATATCAGAAGTCTACCACTAAAGACTCCTATCTATCAGGGTAGTAGACTAGGACTTAATTATCTACCACACACTAATAGACTATAGACAAATAATAATAATAACACATATATTAACCATACTAACACGAATGTACAGAATTGTATAATAGAAAACACAGAATTTTATACCTGAAAACACAAAATTTTATACCTGAAAACACAAAATTTTTATAACTGAAAATCCCTATGTTTCGAATGTCCAGAATTATATAATAGAAAACACATAATTTTATACCTGAAAACACAATATTTTTTAAAAGGATAAAAATCCACTGTTTCGAATGTACTGAATTTTATACCTGAAAACACAGAATTTTATAACAGAATATAAAAACGCCGTCATTTTAGGAGGCGCATAAGCGCACATTGCTATGTGCGCCCTGGTGCACGGTATAACGATTGGCGCCCGACATAGCGGGTGCAGTGAATGCACCTTATAGACGCGTAAAAGGTTCCTTTTAAAAAAATCGTCTGAAATTATTTTTTTTATTTTTTATTTTTTGTCTTTTCCCTCCCCTTTTCTCTCTCTCATCTCTCCTAGTTGGATGACAAAACCCCCCAAAAAATCATTACTATTGACTATTGAACTTGCTCTTAGTCCTAGATCATATTAAATGAACGCTTTATATTACTTCACATTTTCTCACAAGACTACGAGTTTTTATTTGATTATATATATATATATATATATATATATATATATATATATAGACACACACAAGAATCTAAAACCCAGGTCCTATGAACTTAAAGATTAATAAGACAAAATTGATATCATCTAAGTTTAAAAATAAAATAAAAAAATCAACCATATCAGGGTTATGGCCAGTATATCCCACTGGTTTTAGAATAGATAACATTTAATTAATTAATTTTTTTAATGGACACCTTTGCTGCACTTTTGAAAATAAATCTGCGTTCCCTTTTAATATTAAATATTTAATATTAATAGTGCAACGACTTCGAGCAACAAAATCCACTAGCATAATGGATTCTTGTTCTGAGAATTTAATAATAAATATAATAATATAGTTTGATTGTCGACTTGTCGTACCTCAGTGGAATGTTTTCTAATTTCTATTGGGCAGATTGAATCTTTTCTTCAGTAATTAGGTAATTGGTTAGTTGGATCATGGACTATTAAATGTGAAATAATCTTTCTTCTGTTATATTATATATATAGGTATACTTTTTTTTAAATTGAAGTACAAATCATCATTGCACGCATTCAGTTTTGAATTCAAATTTGTGGTATATAGATATACTACTAGACGTAGTACTTCACTTCATCTATATTAGTGTACTTGCATAAAAAAAAATTTATCTAAATCATTTGACTTATGATTAAACAATATATGCATATGAATTTATTCCATCAAAAAGTAAAATTATTTCAATTAATCAATCCATTCGAATATGAATTTAAATGCTAATATAATGGAGAAAATGAATTGCAGTACATTTGGTTTATGGAATATATTGGAAATTTAATAACATTCTCGAAAGTATATTTATTTCATTGTTTGATAAGGAATTTTATTCTTAAGAAAGAGTGATTTTCGAAAATAGCTATTTCTAAGAGAATATTAATATTAAGACATATGGTGATAGGTACCCGTGTTGGTCACTAAAAATTCTATCGATAATTTATAGTATCTCAATATAGTTCAAAGGATCATTTATTATTATTATTTTTTTTGAGTTGTACCCGGGTTTTCATCGTCGGGCACAATAACTAATCCCCGGCAAATTATACTATGGACTGCGGTTCAAAATGCATTGTGGTCCAGGCATCAAATATACACTGCAGTTTCATTTCAACACAACTACAGTATCATTTTGATATAGCTACAGTTTAAATCGCTGGATAATATACACTCAAATATGTGAAATTGTTATTCAGTTTCATTTTGTGTACACTATAGTTTCATTTCAACACAACTACATTTTCATTTCAATTCAATTGCAGTTTCATTTGATAATATAATAAAAATAATACGCGATTGTATGCACCTCTTTTGAGTGGGACAGTTGACTTAAAGATTTAATATAATGCTGCTCCATACTCAAAGCCAAGGATTATTTATAGTATTAACTGAAATATATATAAAATAAAGGAACTAAACATACCATATCTCATAATTTGTATGACATAAGGGTTGAAACTACTTTTTATAAAATTATATATATACATGTATTGATGTGTTATTATGAGACTCCGTATTATATTGTGGTCCCAAATTAGATAGGGACTTGATAGTTAGAAAAATGCCATTTCTATGTCACAATCTGCATGGGCATGCATGTTGATCTATCAGTGCAGCCATGTGAGAATTTGTAAGCTTTTTTTATTTTTATTTTTTTCAATGTTTCTAATTTTGGTTGTGTATGTTGGCCAGAATGGAAAACCCTAATATAATAGATCGAATATATGGATATGAACTAGAAGTTGAGGTAATAATAGGCTGACATGTATCTACTAGTTGAATTTTGTCAAATAGGGACAACAAAGAGGACAAAATGGTGGAGCAAAATAAAGTTGTGCATTCCCCACACCTTCAAGCCTTTTAGATTTTTTTAATGAAAATTATTTGAAATGTTTTTTATAAGATAGATTTGTCTGATATGGTATTTTCTTTAATTGAATGTTAAATTAATTAATAAATCATGCATTAATCTAAGGGAAAATTGTAAAAAATACCCGTCTATAATATGCTAATTATCAATGATACCCCTGAATTATGAGTGGTGTAAAAGTTGCCCCTCAATTATCAAAATGGTACACATATAACCCCTCCCGTAACGGATCTGTAGTTCCCCACCGCTGTCCATCGGTGGTACTTCGAATCGAGGGAGGGAAAAAACAACTAAATTACATATTTATTCCGACTTAACGGTGTCGTACACTAACGGGGAACCACATATCCATTACGGGAGGGGCAATATGTGCACCATTTTGATAATTGAGGGGCAACATTTACACCACTCATAATTCAGGGGTGACATTAATAATTGACATATTATAGAGGAACATTTTTTACAATTTTCCCTTAATCTAATTATCAGTCAATCAAAATATGTTGCGTTACATAAAGTGTACATTGATCATGGACAAATTCTTCTACAAATTAGCTAGTCGCATATTAAGAAAATCAAATTTATCAATAGAAAGATCTGTTGATAAATTACTAAAATTTATAAGTATTTAATTTACAAACGGGTTGGTAAAACAACGGGTTGGAACTTCAATAAACCAAAAGAAAATCAAATTAAAATATAATAATTAAGACAAAAATTTGTGTAAAACCGTCTCGCAGATATTTGTCCATGAGACGGATGAGGTCAAGAAAATATAATACTTATACTAGCAAATGTAATACTAAATCAGGAATAAAATATTTATTACTTATATGGAAAAATGTAATACTTTTGAGAATACATTTTTTTTTATCAAAAGTATTACATTTGTTTTTATAAGTGCAATATTTCTTATAAAAGAAAATATATTACTTATGATGAAAATAGTAATAATTTTACATTAAAATATAAAAGTATTATATTTGTCTTCAAAATATTATGTTTTCCTTATAAGAAGTAACAATCACTTTATTTATAATTTAGTATTATATTTACATTTGCATGTTAACGCAAATGTGACTCAAAAATTAAAGTATGCAAATAAAAACATAATAATTAAGACAAAATAATTTTTTTTTTTTAAATGAAAGAAATATTGGGCCACATGCACACCCATCTATATAACCTCCATCTTCAACAGCGCCACTTCAATCGCTTTAGCTTCTTCTTCTTCTTCTTCCTCAAACACAAATCTTCTCTCTCCTTCAATGGAGAACCGCTTCAAATTGAAGCTCTCCCGTTTTTTCCGGTCATGCAAGGCCAAGAACCTCAGTACTGACGTCGTCAATCTCCACGACACTACTAAAACTGGTTTCCATGATGATTATCCTCCCATGAATCCTGATCACCACAAGCGTGATTATCAGCTCTTTGAGCTTTTCTCCCCCAAACCTCGTACCTTCCCCTCCATTTGCCGGCCCAGATTTCCCCAAACTTTCCATGCTGCGGATGCCGCCGTCGCCGCCGCCGCCGCCGCCGTATCCCCAATTCTACCGCCGTACGCAGATTTTTACTACTGCGGTAGGCCCAGACGACCGAGAAAACGCAGAAAGAACAAGAAGGCGACGGCGACGGCGACGCGGAATCACATCCGGCGGCTGGATTACGACGACTTTCCGGCGTTCGAGTACAAGGGCTTGTTCAGCAGTAGCGACGAGGAAGAAAACAAAGACGACGACAGGAGCACGCTGTTCTCGTCGGCCAGATCGCTCTCCGTTTCCTCCTCCGAATCCTCGGCGTCTCTGCGGCGGCGGAAGAATGAGGAGGCGGCGGTGAAGGACAGCTTTGCGGTGGTGAAGCGGTCGAGTGACCCCTACGGAGACTTCAGAGCCTCCATGCTGGAAATGATACTGGAAAAGCAGATGTTTGGGGCCAAAGATCTGGAGAAGCTTTTGGAGTGTTTTCTTTCTTTAAACTCCAATCATCACCATGGGGTTATAATTCATGTTTTTACTGAGATTTGTGAAGCTTTGTTTTCTACCTGCAAGGCTTGAACAATGTAAGGCGGTTTAAGGATATTACTTAGTTCGTGTATGTCTTGTAATTGATGAATTGAAGTCCAATTTCAATTCGTTAGACTTATAGTGAATGTACTAATATAGTTTCATCAAATACAAGACATTGAACATGAAACTTATGTTTGATTATTCTAAGGTATTATGTTTCTCGTACACTCCTACTATTGTCCATATGTGATGGATCTAAGCGCGGCACTATGCTTACTACCCAGTGGGTCATCCACCTCATGACTATTGTAAGTCAAAGCGCACTTAACCTACTTAAAACCAATTAGTGATAAGTATGTGGACATCGACTAATTAACCACATCCTTCCAGGGTAAGTCACAACGCCATGTCTCGAATCGAGCAGGGGCTGAACTCGACCAACTCAGTCGACGTCGAACAATATGGTATATATTGTGTTTACTAATTAGTTAATCAACTAATGTCTCAAATGATTAATTCGGTTCAAGTTATCTTATTTTGATCTTTTTGATTTATAACGGTTAGTTATGAACAATCTAGACTTATTTATTTTCTTGTGGTCATTTATTTGTTAGGGCCACAAGATCAGATTTACTTAGCTCACACTTTTAAATAGTGATTACCGAATTTCTCTCTTTAATCAAAACAATTTTATATTATGAAAATTATGCATCATCTCATCAGAATTTGAAAGATGAAATATTAGATCAGAGAATTGGAGTGACAAAAAAATAAAAAATTGTAGAACTATTTTTGAAAATATAATATTACATTCAAAAATCTTACTTTCATGAGAATCAAATGAGGCATATAATTTTTCTTTTAAAAAAATAATATACTGTAAGATTTTTGAAGTTTGAATGAATGTTTGAGAAGATGTTTCAAACAGAGGTACGTGGCAAGAAAAGATAGGTGATGTGAAATTTTCAGATAGATGAAAAAGGGGTTGTGTTGATTTGTTGCGTTGTGGAGATTATTTTTGAAAACAATAATAGAGAGGCAAGTGATGACAAAAAGTCCATGCATGGATGGGCTCTAAAAGCTTTTTCACTTTTGATGGAGAAGACCTTCACAACTTTGATCAATGATAAATGGAGAGAGAGAGAGAGAGGTAGAGACATGAATAGAAATGACATGATGGCTATTTTGACTTTTAAGTATTGTTTCCAAATAATTGCTTGTATTGGTTAAAATGAGTTGACATCTTCCCCTTGAAATTCAACGCAGTTAAAATTACTAGTGAATAATTTTAATGCTAATTTAACTCATTTTCATAACGTTGTTTCCCTTTGTTTTATTTTACTGATTTAATTTTATTTGCAGTTTATGTATTTTTTCTCTCATCGTTTTGACGAGTTTTTTCTTCTCGTTTACTTTACGAGTTCTTTTTCATAAAGCATAAAACGATAAAACTGGTCGTGGCATATGTGAATCTCATTCTAAGTGACAAACATGGCAATGAAAAAGAGACTCCTGTGGATTATGATATACAGTTCAGTTCGATGGAAATATTGTTAATGGATAGAAGAATCGAAATAGATACTCAGGTGGTGTACAAGACTATTCAACCAGTGTCAGTCTTGGGTACGTTTAGCCAAATCATTAAAGAAACTTTAAGTTCGTCCAAAGAATTCAACTTCACATTTGTGAAACAGTCTACGAATCAAGTTTTCTGTAACATTGCTAAGGAAGTTGTTTCTATGTCAGATTGTAAAGAATGTTTGACCATTCCATCAATCTTTATTGTAAACGTTTCAGCATATGATTAATGAATTACCTTTTTTATTTTCAAAAAAAAATAATATTATAATTAAAGAAGAAACATTAGAAAGTACTAAAATACCATGTAGTGAGTAAAATTATATTTTAGCGGAGTTTAGTAGTTTTGTTGCTCTAATGGTTCAAACGTACTATAACTGTTTTTTTTTTTTTTTTCTGAAGAGTTAAAAGTGTATATTACAACGGTAGAAAGTTAGGGATTAAAACGGCTAACAAAGAACAATTGAGAAATTAAAAATGTGTGTGTATGTTTTTTTTTTTTTTTTGGAATTAAAAATGTGTTTTTCTATATATATATATATATATATATATATATATATATATATATATATATATATATATATATATATATATATATATTGTTGAATAATACCTATCATAAATTTAAATATTTCATTTTTACAAATCCTATGTTGTTCAATTCAAAATGCGATTTTCCGCATTCCCCGGTCAAGGGTCGTAGCTTTTTGAAAGGTATTCGCTTTCTTGGAATTAATTCGCATGCACTTTAATTTCCATTGAGAACCACATACCATAAAAAAGATATTAATAAATAAATAAATACATAAGTAATATGAAACTTGCAATAGAAAGCGGATGGAAGAAAATCCAATATTAAATGCTAAGAAAAATAAAACATGGTTACATGGATTTATTGGTGTCCAAATATAAATTACTCATTTCATTAGGCATGAAATAGGGAAAAATGCACTTTGCATTTCTTAAGTGCTATTGAATTAAAAATCTAGTTCCACTTTTTCATTATTTTTATTGGGCGTAAAACTCGATCTATTTGAATTGTATTTAAGATTTTATGAAAAAAATAAAGAGTAGATTGAAATTCATTAAAACTTGACCGGCCATTTATAATATGTGTCTCCAAAATCCAAATAAACTATCAGATGATCAAGATTACAATAATGAATCAAGATCAAGAAAGTACACAAACATACTTGTTTAATTTAACTCAAAAGATTCTCCTCAAGCTATCATTTCTTCCTTTTTCACAACATGCCATTGATCATTAGATAAAAACCAATTCTTTTTAGGTAAAAGGAATGTCTATGATTGGTGTAGGTCCAAAACGCATGTTTGCTTGTAATAAGAAGGTATCTTGTTGTCATGTGTTTTTAGAAAATGTGTCCAACAGTTCTTTTCAAAAAGTGACAAATGATATTCTTCGAACTTAGACTTTGTTAAAAGTACGACTGCCAATAGGCCTAGGATCTGCTGCACAAAAAAAAAAAAAAAAAAAAAAAAAAAAAAAAGTTGCCAATTCCAAACGTGAGTACTTCTAATGATTCCAGCCAAAGTCAAATGATAAGTTATTTGCCAAAAGACCTTAACACAGGAGTCAAAAGGTTTGCGGTTGACTTGAACTCGCAAAGTGTTGAGATTCGTTAGTTGGGTCTGCTGATGAGATGAACTGCCAACGTTTGCCAAAGAAAAACAAGATCTACAAGAATCATAGGTGATCTGATCTACTGGATAGGGTCTGCCGATAGTGAACATAGACAACTATTTAAGACGGCTACCCTATACATCTATTGGTGTAAATCAACTAAATACAAAAAGTCTATCAACAAGTCTTTATTTTCGTCTATACAAAGATTAACCATGAAAGTTATTACAAAGAAAATTTTAGGAATTTAAGTTCTTAAATTACATGAATTAACATAATCAAAATCTATACAAATATTATTCCTAACATCTAAAATTTCATTAAAAATTAAAATATCATTAATATAGATGATACTGCTAATTGCCACGTACACAGTAATTAAATAAACACGAGATCAATTAAAGCAAGTAAATATCTTTATTGATCACGGTGAAGGCCCTAAGTACAATCTACTTGGTTGCTCTAGTGCCAACTGGCTGCGGTCGGGATTCTCTAACAACAACCTATCGATCGTCCAAAAGTCCCCCACACTGTAGCTATCGCGGGTATTTATAGCCACGGCGCCGAAGACACAAATCCGGTCGTTCGGCATGCTTCCCACGTAGCCACCACGTGTCGCCATCCCGGGTGCCCTGCCTGTCAGCGTGTGGAGCCGCCACGTGTCTCTTGTCAGCTCCCTCGCCTAAGGGCTACCACTCGGTGGTCGACACTTCCGCTTGGGCAATTCCCGGTCGAGGTCCGACCGGGTTCTTCACAAGAAGCCCGACCTATTACCTGCAAAGACAAGGAGACAAAAACAAAGGCACACCAACCGGGGTAAAATTATGTCGGTCGGGATATTCCCTACCAAGAGCCCCCCAGCCCGGGCCTTTTTGACCGTCCGGGTAAAAACGGGACGGGATGAAGAAGCCTAACCATCGGCCACCCAACCGACCGGCCAGCTGTCATTCCTTCCCTTGCCACGTGTCGGCCACTGCCGGCCTCTACGACTGCAACGGTCGCCTCGGAATCAGTGCGGGTCGTGTCATGCAAGTGGACTCATTTCCCGCCTAAATACTCTCCTATAAATAGGCCTTTGAGGCCCTCATTTGAACTTTCCTCAATCTTCTGAATCAACCGGTACCCTCAGAGAGTCCCGAGTGGATCATCAGCAGATCAACCGAGCAGAACATCCTCAAGCTCTATCCAAGTCTTCGTGATCGGTAAACTTTCTTCTTCTCTGCTTTATCTTTTATTTCTAGCCTTGTGTAGGAGTAGGATAGGACTAACTCCGACCTAACATCCCGAGTCCTGTACTAACCACGACCGACCTTTAGGTAGAAAAGATGTCAGATTCGGATAGCCAGAACGTCACGGTTGCAGACTACGACGACACGGTCGAGCAAAGCAGTGAGGAGGTGGACATCATGTCCTATTCTCCAGAGGTCGAGCAACGACCGCAGCAAATCCCCGACCGAGCCCCCGAGCCAGAAGGGTCATCAAGCTCATCGGGGACATCGGGGTCGAGCTCCATCGGGTCGGGGAGCTCGAGCGCGAGGAGCGGCGAAACGTCCACGAGCGGACGAAATTCCCCGGCTGAAGGCGTCAGGGGAATGCCTATGAGGATAATTGGGGATTACCCTCAAGCCGAGCCCCAAGAGGACAACCGGTCAGAGGACGCGGAGGCGGTCGAGGAAGACCCGGCCGGGGACGGCTTCGAATTCCTCAACAGCGAGTCCGTCGAGTCCCAGATGAGCTTGCTGACAAAAGGAGAAGCGAGCAGAATCGCCGCAACACTAGCCGGTCGGGTCGAGTTTGACACCAGCAAACAGCTCGGAAACATCATCGAGCGGCACCGGGAGAAGTGGCTCGGGATGTACTATGACTCCCTGATGGCCCCGATCACTTTCCCCTTCTCAAGTCTTCTTACTGCGTTCTTGGGCTACTACCAGGTTATGCCCGGACAGATTTGCCCGAATGCACACCGCATGATCGCGTGCTT